ATCCTTTGTTAACTACTCATGTGTCGCCGTTGTATTTGACCTACTTCAGCACCTTATTTCGGGTGAAAGATCTTGGCATATAATAGGGGAGGCATCTCCATTGCAGGAGGGCTGGCTTTAATTCGCGTGACAGCTTGAAAGTGAATCGATGCTGAGTTTTACTCGCAAAAGTCTACTCGATCAAAATAAAATTCCTGGGAAATGAAGGGTCGAACGTTTTTCTTATATTTAAAAAAAAAAAAAAAAAAAAAAAAGGTACAGTGCTCTCTACAAGCTTGAAAACACCTGATCTTTTACAGTTGAACAATCGCATATGGCAGCGATTTGCGCAGATTTGTCGACGATATAAAAATGTCATTTCAATATCTTGCGATATATTGATTTCTGTCCATTTAAATAACCAATAACTAATCTGATTGAAATTTTTCATTTTGATGACAGCGCATCGATTCCGCAAAATCGCAGCATACAGATTGCGTTTAGATCACTTAGCCGAATGGCGAAAGAAAGAGGCAGTTGCGTGAAACGTTAATACTCTCGCGACAGGCAGGAAAGTCCGAAGGCCGAGCGAGAATCCGCGACGTGTGGGCGCTCTTCGCGTGCCCACGTGTATCTACTGACGGGTTGTGCCACGTGCAGTGTCGTAAACATCGAGGGACCGACGATATTGCGATTCGAAGAAAATTCTCAACTTTAGCGCATCGAGTCGATAATTACGATCGTGTGTCGTACGAGCATTGATTTTTGTATCCCTCTGTGGAATTTCTCACGATAAAAATTCATAATTATTTATATACTTTTTTTCCTATCGATTTTTTATATAGGCTGATTACACGTGTCAAATAGATTAACATTTTCCGATTGATTGCAAAGGTCATTTGTGAAACCTTGACATTGCGTCTCGCATCAATGAACGTGAAGAATCTTGCACTAGAAAATTGCGAAACAATAAAGGCTGCACATATGTGATGATCTTGCAGGTTTAGGTCTTCTTATGCGTCATAAAAAGATGACTTTCCGTTCTCGTAAAGCGCGACTCTGTACACGGATCCGTTCACACGCGTGTGTATTTATGAATACTCGTGTCGATGTAACTGCATATGGCCTATGCAGCAGGCCGCATACGTGCTGCATATGCAACGCAGATAGCTTTGCGTAGGCGATATTTTAGCCGGGATGTATCACGTGGCTTTAATAAACATCATCAAAGCTGGAAAATAAGGTATAATCTGCGAAAATAAAATATGGGCGTGTATTTAGTAGAAATGAAATATATAAAAGACTCGATATTAGGAAATGAGATTTCTCATGTACTGCTTTTTATAATTTTACATTTTAAAGTAAAATATTAATAATAAATAATATTTAAAAAATATTACTTTTGCCAGTTTATTAGTTCCGCTATATTATCAGTCGATCAGCTAATTCAGCTATTTTAGTTATCGTTTTTTTTTCTAAAATTTTTCCGAGATACTTTGAACTAATATTCCTGCGATAAAGCGACAGAGAAATTATTTAGAGGAATTATGTATTTACATAGGATGATTCCCTGCGACTTGAAAGTTTCGAATGGCCGAGGAAAAAAAGTTCCTCGCAACTTCCGATCTATGGCTGTGGGTGCATTATTAATGTCAGCCTTCGAAAACAATTGCAATCGATGGTGGTTAACAATGAATGGTAGCGGCGAAAGTCTCGATACAGGTTTCCTTTTTATGCTTACGACTATAGGATCGCGTTGGGCAAGACTATGTCGTATACATACGTGTACTCTACGATCGTTAATATTTCGTCGTGAAAGTCTACTGGGGAACGATAAATAAAACCGAGAAAATTCATTCTTGCAAAATTGTTTTCCACGCATGTTCATTAAAATTATTTAATACACGGAAAGAATTTTCTCTTAGAATTTACCCTCTGAAAATCATGGTAATCATGGACAGTATGGTATTGGAAGAATTTTATAAGAATTATTCTGATTAATACTTATCACAATAAACAATATTAATATGTACATAGTAAATTTTATATTTTATTGCGGTTGATATTACTATTTTTATTGTGGTAAATATTATAATTTTATAAAAATTATTCTGATTAATACTTATCACAATAAACAATATTAATATGTACATAGTAAGTTTTATATTTTATTGTGGTAGATATTACTATTTTTATTGTGGTAAATATTAATCAGAGAAATTCTTATAAAATTCTTCATATTGTCCATGATTACCATGTCCATTTTCAGGGTAAATTCTAAGAGAAAATTCTCTCTGTGTATATATTTTAATGTCGAAAAATTGCGCGGAAGGGAATAATTTGTTACAACTAAAATGCGCTTTATTTATTAAAGAATTTGCGCGTGCGAAAAGTCGGAGATACTTGGATCGATGCGCCTCGAGGCGATATCGGATGCAGCGGGAACAGGATGCACATCGACGCGACGCGTATGCACTTATGGCGAGAGAGAGAGAGAAAGACGCGAGGTCTTTGGCCGCCTAATGGCCGATGCTTCGCTTATGCCGTCTTTGAGGTGGCTTTCCCCTAATTCGCGTCAATTGACCGTGCGACGAAAAGGGAGAAGACAGTATATGAGACCCGTAATTAAAATTAGCATCGTCGCTCTGAAACGCGAGACGTTCGTTGTGCAACGCATTCGTAGGATGCAACGCGATATATCGAACCTTGATGCTATTTTTTTCTCGATCAGGCGATGTTCGAACCTTGATCCCACTCGATCTCACATATGATTCCACTTCTCAGCTCGTTCTATATTTTAAACTCTTCTTATGTTAGTCTCTAATTTATATATTATAGAGAATAGAGATTTGTCACATATCTACTCTTTTACCTTTGTTTTACATATGTACAAATAATGTTGACAGATCGTTTATATACATTGTAGATTTTGCACTGTGAAACGTATCGGGAATTTTACTTCAATTACGTTTGCGGCGACTTTGACATCGATTTTATCAAAAATTTAGCGAGTCGCAAAATCGATCTATTCGCATTACATAAGCGTTTTCTTCACATTTCCGCACACGAATCGTTTCTATCCTGCTTCGTTCAGCCTTGGCCTCATAATCCGAGATCTGCATTACTGCATGTCTGCACGAGTTTCGGAAATGGACCAAGAATATTCAGCCCTCGATTTTTTTGCTACCAAAAATAACGTGGATATTTCTAAATCGAAATGCGAAATTACTTCGTAGTTTCTCAATTCGGATTAAGAATAAAATTTATTTAGGGAGATACGTTCATTAATTATACGTGCATTAAGAATTTGTTTTTCAATAAAACTCTCTTATATTTAATTATTTGAAAGTTAATTTTAAGCTTCTACTTGGAGCAAGAAATATGTTTCAATTTGTGCAGAGCATTTCTTCGAGTTAATTTTAGTTTCTTCTTGTGATTTTAATGAATATGGGTAAATACGATTACTCCGACAGAGTTTTGACCGCGACTCTTAAAACAACGTTAGAAAAGAGTTTCAGGTTGAGAAAATATTTGTGTAAAGAGCGTACATTCTATTTAAAAAAAAAAAAAAATGCAACGCTAATTATAACCAAAATATCTCGACAAATATTTTTATTAGGCCGATACGCGCGCGTATATACACATTATTTCACGTATCCGTTCCTTCGCTCGATGACGAAGAGACGTGGAAACCATTCTGATTTAGTCCCGTTAGACTTTGTACATATACATGAAAATCACATACAGATTCATTGCGCGCATCCGTTATGTGGCCCTCGCACGATTAGCATTGAAGTTAAGGCACAATGAAAAATATGAAGAGTGACTCATCTCCAAATAGGAATCTGTCAAAATTTCGATCAAAAATATTCTCGCTTTTTTTGAGATATGTAATATCTCTGTGCGTGTATGTGATATTTTTTATGGGAAATTAATGACACATTTATCGCCTGCACTTGGAATGTAGCTTTCTTAATGTTTGAAAATGCGATCCGAAAATCGAAGCGGGTATGAATAAAATGGAGTGTCGTTCCCAGATCGGCGATCGCTCTCGACGTGTCTCGGGGGATTCGCATCCTCGATTACAGATCCTCGAGTAGCGAGCGCAGCGCACGATGACGGCAGCTCACGAGCTCATTAATAGCGTGGCGTGTCGAATTTTGATCGAGAGCGCGACGAGAAGCTGCGACGAGGACCTCGTCGCGTCGACCTTGGCGCAGGTTTGTCCCTGAAAACTTTCAAGCAACGCAGGATCGATGTTTCGCACGATGCTTCGCACGACAGTTATACATTCTCTCTCTCTCTGTGTGCCACCACGTCACCGGATGCTCTCAAAACTCGAAACGATCGCAATCTTCATCGATTTTTCTTCACGAACATTGAGGGATATATTTTGTAGGAACTAGATTAGTTGTGATCTTTTTTTACGTAATATAGATATCACATAGATACACAAAATTAAATATTTATTAATCACGTAAGTTCTAGGGGATCAGGACCGAGTTGGAATTGTGACGTCAGAGGCGAGAAAACATCGGCTAAAAATTCTTAGATGCCATTTTGAAATAAAAAGATACTTGGATGAAACAGCTCTCCCTTTATAATCAATCGACAGCTGTAATAGGAAGCCCAGTCCATCTAGTCTGCACATGCGCATGACAAAATCTGATATCACGATCGTTTACGGTTGTTAATCGATTGTCAAAGGAGAAGAATAGTTTTCTCTATTGAGGTATTTTCAAAGTGTGCTAAAGCCATCTGAAATATCTTTTTATTTAACAATGGCACCTAAGAATTTTCAGCAAGTCACAATCCAGGGTGAGGATCCAGGAGCCTCAACTATATATTGTTGTACTCCATCATTCTAATTTTTCAATGATTTTTCTCTCGTCGTTAATGACGTCTTAATCCTCCAACTTACGTGAGGAAGAAATATTTCGTTCAATTTATCGCGAGCGACGTTCGCCTAATTAATTTTCGCGATAACTTACGAACGCAAACATGGTCGTTTGTCATTGCAGCCGCCAGAGAATGAGCTGCAGAAAGTGGGCGAGCGCGTGCCGAGCGAGCACGAGCTCAGGGTACAGAGATCGTTGCAACGGCTCAACGTGCCCGACTGGTACAAGAATTCACCGGCCGCCCGCGACGGCTTTCGGCTGAAGAGGCACTCTGATGCTTCGCAGCACGGAGGATGGCGCGCCCTCGGCTCCAAGACCACGTCCCTGTCATCCCTCTCGTCGTCTTCCAATCGACAGCCGACCACAGGTGAGCCATCAAGTCTCTTCTTTCACCGACGAATGTATTAGAATTAATTTGGAATGAATCTAAAATTATATTTCCTCCTGTTGCAGGTGCCCTTTTAAGTCCCAGTCCCACGCCACCCGTTTTCTCGAGATGGAGTACCAGCTTGCTGAACAGCGCCGGAAGTTCACCCGCGAATTCGGCCAGGTCGTCCTTCAATCATCGACAGCCTTATTTAGGCTGGCGTTCTCAGGAACGACTGACCAATCCGCGTACACCAGCGGAACGTCTTGCTCAGGGTATTCTTCCTCAGTTGCAGGCCGCAAACAAGGTGAGAAAAGCGCGAGAGAGAGAAGAAGAAGAAAATTCCTCGGTCGATTCTTTCTCATTACGTGGGATAATTGTCTTTTATTTGCCGCGAATGAACGCCAAGTAAGATAAACGTCGCGCAAAGATCATTTACGTCACCGTTGACGTCACGACTTTTTTTCCCTACGTCAGTCTTGTATTTCCGTCTTCGATATCCGCGAATGTAAATAAATTTTGCGAGTAAGGATTAAGTTCAAATACCAACGACACGACGCTGCACGATTTATATCTTGCTCTTTGTACGGTTCGCAGTCGCTTTCTAAAATTAGACATTCCGACAGGAATGCCTCCCGTCTTCTTGCATCTCTCTTTCATAGTTTGCCCGCGGACAGACATTTCATACAGCCTATATACTCTGTGTTCACAATTAGATGAAGATTCATGGATAAATATCACAAGAGTTGCATCTATTATCAATGACACATTGTTTTATACAATTTATTAAGTATTTCATGAGACGATTCATTGAATCGCGTCTGTAATGAATCTTTGAAATGGATTTCGCAAAATCTTTGTTTCGCAGCAACAGCAGCAGCAACAGACAACGAATCAGCAGTTGGAGGTACGAAACTCGATAAAGGAGGTGACCTCGGCCATCGTGCACTACGTGCAGAGCGGCCAGGAGGTCGGAGGTGGCGGTGGTGGCAGACTCTCGCCGCGACCTCGACCTGAAGATTGGGACGACAGGGGCGGAGCGAGGTCTACCAGCCCCAGAGGTGAGCACTAAATCGTCCCCACAGCTACCAAAAAAAAAAAAAAAAAAAAAAAAATACGATCCTATCAACACCACCAACCAACCATCACCTTTGCTCTCCGTCACGAAGGTAATTTTGAGTTCTCCTATTTTCTTAATGTCTTCTTTTGTCTTCCTTTGCAAGCTGCCTCTCTTTTTCTCTCTGTCTCTGTCTCTCTCTTTGTCTCTGTATGCATCAAGTGGCTCTTCGCATCGCTGAGGTCAAAACAGGTCGGTCTTTAATATTTCTTCCCTTCCACCCCTACCCCAACTATTTCAGATGGAAGAAATTTTTCAGTGTTTTCGGCGGTTCTATTTCATTCACATCAAAAAAGTATGTCACGAAATATTTTTCACTGCATTAAACACCCTTAAAATTCTTTTTTTCAATTCCCAGTTATTTACATATATCAAAATTGAGTAATATAATAATAATTATTAATGCGAACCGCATTTGTATATAATATTCTGAATTTATGGAGAAATTATTAATGGAATTAATTATGAAATTAATATAGAAATTAATTAGAAAGTTTTAATTAGAAAGTTTTTATTCAATTGAAAACTGAATCGATTCTATTTTTCTCGTTAGATATATCTAAAGTACCATTAAAAACATTTTTTAAAACATAATAATCGTGAATTGTGTGACAATCACATCAGACCAATCTGACGATGGGTCGATCTTCCAAGAAAGTATCTCCACTAATAGGAATTCTCAGAGTTTTTGCGCAAAATTTGCGCTTTTATGCTAATTACATTCAGAAGAATGAAAAGCACCGACTGCCATTTCTTCATGATTTTCCGTACGGAAAATATCTATATATATTCTATTAAAAAATTAATATGTTTACTACTATCAAATACGTCGAAGAAAAATATTATTTGATATATTAAATAGTGACATTTAATGAGAGAAAGTATTTGCAAATGAGCGTGTTTCAACTTGGAACCTCAACTACTATATTTCGGGATCTAAATGATGCGAGTTAGCAGATCGTGACCTTCTCGTCTCTAGACAATCTCGACGTTGTGATACGATTCGAGAGTGTATCGTCGAGACAAGTCGTTGCTATTTCGATAGTGTCTCGTGGCCGTCGTCACCGAAATAGATTACCCTGAAATTCGGACACCCCTTCCCAGCCTTCCTCCACTCTCCTCATCTTCTCGACGCGAGCGAATTCGCGCTCTTTTTTATTTTATTTTTTATTTTTTATTTTTTTATTTTTTTTTTTTTTTTTTTTTTATTTTTTTTATTTTTTTTTTTTTTTAGTGAGATATGATTGAAAATCAATTGAATAATTGATATAATTAGCAAACGACTTTACGCGCAAAGTCGCAATTATAAAGTTCTGTCTTTTATCGTTTGAAACTTTCATAAACTTGTCATCTTGCCGATGGAAAGTTGATGAAATGATGCAATTTGTTGTTTTAACTAACGCTTATGATACTAACATGTACTAACATTGATAATAACAGATAATTCGCAGCTTACTTAAACTTTTTCACACAATTTGACATTAACAAAACTTTCACATGTGCCAGCTTTATATACTAATTATTACTTTTTAAGATAGATATATAGACGCGCGCGCGCATAAATACGGATTTTATTTTTACAATTGTTACGTAATATTTTTAAATATAAATGGGATATATAGTAGTATTTTCCACGAACCGATACATACGATTACATCGTCCTATTCGTCAATCTATTTGCAATTATTTTTAGTTTTCCTCGTTATTCCGACGTATACCCGTATAATGCTTCTGCTACTTGAGGCGATTACGCGGTCAATAAAAGTAGTTAATGCCCGCATCGCCTAATTATTTGTGAGAGAGCCTTAACAAAAGAGATAATAAATCCCACGGTATTACATAACGCAGATGCACAATAGTTTCCTCCTTCATGCTTTTGCGCGCTTAAAAATACGGTAGTCACTTCTTGAGCTTGTATCTATTGTGCAGAAATGAATTTTTCGTAGATGCATCAGGTATTTTTTTTTCTCGACCATCAATCTAAATCTTTGAGAAATGTAACATTTGCATATACGTACAAAATGTATATTATTATTTCGAGAAAAGCGACGCACATTTTTTTGCAAAAAATTCCCAGTTTTGACAGTAGACGTAAAAGAGAAAATAGGATTTTTGAAGACAGAATTGGAAAAGCGATAGAAATAGGAGTAGGGTATATAAATTGGAGTAGCCTCGAAGGGTCGTTGATGACCCGGGCCTAATCGCATTTGTGTCGGCACCTCGAAGGGAGCGTGAAGCTGTGCTGGATGGAGAGCTCGTTCGTCGGCACGCGGCCCGTGGACTCGCCGGAGACGCCTATGAGCCTGGCGACCGACCAGGAGGCGGGCGACTGCTGCAACGCGGCCGGCACCGAGTCCTGCAGCTGCCAGGACTCGGCGGCCTCCGGCCTCTACCTGGATCTGACGCCCAGCCGGGACGACCTGCGTCATCATCAGACCTCCTCGGCCGGCCCGTCGCCCACGTCCTCCTCTCACTACCATCATCATCACCATCATCATCATCAGCGTCATCAGCATCGCCAGCAACAGCAGCACCAGCAGCAGCAGCAGCAGCAGTGTCATCACCGCGGTGAGTTGCTGCTCGCCTAGCGGACGCGCGATACTTCCGGCTACCATTTCCGCCCCGAGCGCGTCAAGCTGACGAAGACGATCCGATGGAGAGAAAGCTTCTTTACCCCTCTTCCGGTCGGATCTCCTACAAAGGGTAGAATTTATCTTGGGCGAAATCGAGAAAAAGAAGCATACCGAAAGACACGATATTGATCAATTTAATATCGATATCGATATTAATATTGATCGATACCAAATAACGAGAATTAATTAATTGAATTGGTATAATTGAAGAATTAAATCGTTGCGGAAAATTCTCTCTCTCGAATTCGTCACAAAAGAGATATGCGTCCCTCGTTCATCTAGGATCTCGAGCTTTTTTCATAAACTATTACTATGTAGACGCCCTTTAAAAGGGTGACGTTCGCTCGTCGCGCTTTCATCTCGTCGGCGTAGGCGCAGAATCCCCCGGAAGCGCTTTCATAATTCTCTCTCTGTCTCTCTTTTTCTGCAGAGAGCTCTTTATCGTCATCGTGACGACGATTAGAGCTTACGCCCACATATCGATAATCGTTATCTCCCCTCGTTCTCGTTTTCGTCAGTTTACGTCGCGCGCTCGCGACACTTAATCCAGCTTCCAGGACTCGGCTAATTAATTCGCAAAGCCGACTCGAGCTAACATACCTATTACATATATATAGCTTTATATATATAGAAAAATATACTCTCATTCTCTTGCGAAATGAAGATAAGACGAAAGATTGTGTACGTCCGTTTGAGAGCTTTTTCGAGACTGAATCCCGATAGTACAAAATTCTCGGCGAATAATACATACGATTTTTTGCATGGATTCATTGGCAATTTTTACTATCGAAGATGACTTTGGCGAGGGAAACTCTCAAATGGGGTTCACTGAAGCTTGATCAAACGGCGAGACTCGAGATATACATACATATAATGGCGATAGAATGATAGACTCTCGTTGCGTCGATATTTTTACCGATTTGTTTATATCAACGATCAAGTGTTTCTATCGAGATTAGGATAAAATTACGTTCGAGATTTTTTTTTTTTTTTTTTTTTTTCGAGGAAAGAAAGAAAAAGGGGTCGAAAGGATGGAAGGTAGAAGCGAGCAGTCTCGAGTCGCGCATTTCGCAGAGCAGACTTTTCGCGCGCAGCGAATACTCGATGATATATTAGTGAATTCTCTCCATTCCACGCGCGTTCTCTCGCCTCTCGTTCACTCACTCTTCTCGCTCTCGTCGTCGCTCATGCGAGAGAGCTCATCGTGATGAATTTTGTAGAGTACACTTTCTTACTTTGTTTACGACACGTGTGTTGACGCTCCCATCCACTCTTCGCTGATATAAAGAGTATGATAAGAAAAAGGCGCTCTTCTCTCCCAGTACCATATTATGCGAGATATTAATTTCAGATATTAATTTAACCCCCACTTTTCTCTCCTCGCCAACTTTTGTCAGTAGTTACTTGCATTCATGTATGTTTACCGTAAAACTGTCCACAAACTTTTATGTTGAAACCTGTAGAATCTGTACAGGTGCGTACATACGTGTATTAATTAGGTTTAATTATGCGAATCGCGCACACCGTTCATTATGTGTTGCAAGTGCGTTGATATTATTATTATTATTATTATTATTATCATTATTATCGTTATTATGATCATTATTATTATTTTTAAGTGTATTATTATTATTGTTACTATTTTAATTACGACACTCGGAAGCTCGCAGAATCGTCCGCGTCTTCTCCCTTGTTGTGCCTTAAAGATCTTTTTATTTTGTAATTGATGTACATTGCGCGCGATTGTAAAGATGTAAATTCGATCGTTTGAATATGATGAGACGCGAATGAAAACGACGATTCTGCGTGCCCGATTTTCACGCCTGTCTCTTTCTATTTCTCTCACTCTTTCTTTTTCTTTTTCGAACGGTTCCGTACTTATTGTTCGGACACACATCAACGATTATCATTTGTCTGTGTAGAGCGTAATTATTACCCTTGGCAACAAAAATAAATTATTGTCATTATTATTTGTGTTTTCTCCGTAAATTTGTTTGCTCCTGCGTTCACATCTCTGTCTGTCTTTCTTTCACTCTCTCTCTCTCTCTCTCTCTCTCTCTGTTTCTTACCATCATTTTATTTTTTCTCTCACTATTATATTTTGTTTTTAATCAAATCGGTTAATTTCACAGTCTTAACAATCGAAATGATGTAACTAAAATAAGTAACGTCTTATTGCGAAGTATATCGAAGAGTTTATCGAGACATGTATAAATATCGTGCATGTTTGTATATGTATATTTTTTTTTTTAGTCGATTGATATACATAATAGCACGGTCACTTTTGCGCGAATCTTTCTCTTCGATCACATTGTGTACCACTGTGTTCTGCTTGTGTCACGGTAAGTGCTGCAGAATTTTGTTGCCTCCTTGACTACGACTCAGTCAAGAGCGTTTCTGCGTTATTTTCTTTCTCTATTTATAATTCGATAGCCATATACTTATGCGCGCGTAAAGCACAATCGATGACGTTGAATATTGACAATTTGCAATCGTGTAAAAATTGAATTTTATCGAACTACAAACTTAGGCAACTACGGTTGATATATACATATCGCACGGTCTCTGTCGCATTTATCATTGACGAAGGGACCGCATGGAACTTATATCTCTCTCCCTAATAAGATCAACACTTTTTTTTTTTTCGAGGAAAGGAGAAAATTAACCAAATTAATCCAAGGTGCAGGAATGGGGCAGGAATGGACCGCTTTATATTCTTATAAGCAATAACGAAATCGATGAAAAGTTGAAGGATTATTCGATTTGCACTCGGATATACAATGCACATACTCGTATAAAGCCCCGTTTTGTAAAAGGAGAATCAAAGAGAAAGCAATCGCTTGATTATTAATCACAGGATTAATATATATGTACATGGAAAACATTGAGAAAAACTCTTATCTCTCTATCTCTCTCTCTCTCGTTTTCACCCCGGTCGAGAGATACACGTACACACATATACTACATACATATCTACATAAACACACGCGCACTTTCGAGGCCAAGAGGATGACGCAAACCTCTCTGTCTCTTCTTTACCCCCGCATGAAACCGATGATCAGGATCGGGCCAGAGCGATACGGACGAGGCGATGGCGACGGCAGCTCTTCTGCGGAACAAACCGAGCCCGGGCTCCACAACCCTGGAGGACGTACTCGACTCCCTCCTGGGACTGCCACCCGCGTCGCGTACTCCGAGTCCTGGTCCGGGAGGACCCGTCGTGACCGCCACGTCCGCCATCCGTCATCGTCATACGAACGTCGCCGTCGGCCAGGCGAAAGCCGGGAAGAGCTGCAGCGACCTACGCCAAGACCTCCAAGGTAGGAGGACTATGTAAGTTTTCGTTCTGATCGCCAAGATCCTACCGAGAGACGACCAACCCCTATTCTACGTACCCCGAAGAGCGAACGCGTGCGCATCGAGTGTCTCGTAAGGACCGAAAGTGTCTTTTTTTTTTTAATTTTTTATTTTACTTCAAAAAGATTTGATCTGTATATAAAAGAAGCTTCATTTCCGCAAGAGGAAGAAGATGAAGAAATATAGCGTATGCACGTTTTCTCGGGACATCTCGATGTACACGGGATCGATTACGTATATTCTGCTTCGCGATGCAAAAGCAGTAATTTGCGTTTCTCTTCGCCTCGTCGACCGCCTCACCTTTCACTCGCGCGGAGACTCGTAACTTGAACGGGGAACCAAATTCGCGCACTCGAATGATATATAATACTCAAAATTACATACATCATATATCATCTATATATATTTATACATTCATACATTTTTATACATTATCTCGGCGCAGAAATTAAAAAAAAAAAGGCAAAAAAATTAAAACCATCAAGAAGGACAAAATTAAACAAGATCTATACAAAATTTTCTTTCCAAACTCGAGTCCAAACTCTGGACTCTTCAGTCTCCGAACTCGATCGTCAACTTGGTCTGCGACACCGAGAAGAGGCGACGACGCGTCTCTTCCCTCTGTTCCGTCTCTCTCTCTCGCCGAACTCACGTTCTTTTGCACCTTTGCAGAGGCGAGCCTAAGGGCGTGTAAAGCCCCTCGCGGGGTCGTAACCATCCCCGAATCCGAGGACAAGCTTGGCCGTCAGCAGCCGCTCGCTGCTTATCGCGCGAATGATTAGGCGAGCGCATGTGATTAATAGCACGAGCCGAGACGGAGATCGTAAGGCAACAACAAAATCATCACCAACACTCTCGACACGCTCTCTTTTTCTATTTTTTCCACTATCTATCTCTTTCTCTACAAGTCTGTCACTCTTTTTAGCAACGCTGTTTTCGACACTATATCCCGCAATCTGCTTTTCATCCCTCCAACTAGATTGCGAATGTTGGATTACGAGTTATATTTTGTTACGAGTTTCGAATTTTCAAAAGCACAATGTTGAAACGCGTTCATCGGAAAATTAACGTTTCGTTGCGAAAAAAAAAAGAGTACAGACTTTTTGTGGTTCGGTGCACAATTGATGGCACGTGCACAGCTGGAGGGGGTGGATTGGATGCAGATTTGGTTCGCTTCTATTGCAAAACCTGTGGTAGTATCCAGTCACTCCTAATGTAACAATGCTTTTCGTGATTGTGATTTATATTCGACGAGTGCTTACATTGTAATAATTTACAAAAAAGATCTCAAATATATATACATATGTTTCTTCTATCGGTATTTAACATCACTTAATAAAAAATAACTCTGCATTTCCGTATTGCAACTAGATCACTCGCTACAACTAATTACTTCCCAAGTAGATTAATATCTATTTATGTTTTCCATTAGCTTTGTATCACTCTTTTCTAATTAATTTGGAATTTCTCCAAGTTGCTTGAACGCTTTAGTTGGTTGTTTTGGACAACTGCTTCAGGTACAAAGTTGTGAAGCCACCACTGACACAAGCGAAATGCTGATTGAAAAGAAATTAGATTGCTAGGATTGTTGAAGGGGGGAGGGATATGTAAGTGCGTTATTAAGGAATATTATCACGCCGATCACTATCATCACGCTCATATCAGGCTTGCTTACAATCATCACGTTATTGTGCTTAACGCGTCACTCGAGCTGGCTCTCGGTAATGATGACGGAGGAAAGTGAGAACGAATTTGCGTCCCCTCGTTCAATATAACGTCATTATCCTACGCTAAATCATTCGTTGCTATTTAATCGCATCATCTTGCTATATCGATCAACGCCATCATTTTCCATTTAATGCCATCATACTTTGATAGAATCGAAGCTATCGACGAGCTCGCTGTCAAATTCTATTAAATCCACATTTTCATTAAAAATATATAAATGGAAATTATCTCCAGACTCGAATTCATTTCGGCAAAAACCACCTGAAATTCACTTTTGCATAAAAAAGAAGATTCAAATCGTGTGTATAACATTCTTTGTATACAATGTATTACTGATTCACCAATGGGAATTGCAATACATATGTATATACATATACACTACCTAGAGAAAATTTGATTTAGTCGATTGTTTAAAGTCAACTCATATTGGCCTCGACGAAAGATAATAATATATGTTGCAAAAAGCTGTAGAGACGGATCTTTAATGGCAATTTGGGAGTAAGCTCTTAATCACGATCGTTCTCCGACCTCTCTCATCGTTCTCCCAACTTCATCAACTTTCCCCCAATGTTCCTCCAGTCCCGTACTGACGAAGGCAATCGTCCTGACCTGTCGCAGAGTCCGCTAGGAGCGTGATGGACGTTCACCAGGTAGCCGCGGAGGAGCAACGCAACTTCTACTCCGGCGAGCTGCTGAGACGGAAGAGCGAGGGCAGCGATACCCTACCTGTTTCTTCCTCATCGCTGATGCCAACTCGGAGTGGCGCAACGCGCAATCGCCGAGTGTCCTTCGACAACGCCCAGGACTCCACGACGAACGGCAGCTCGGCCATGGACAAGGTGGTGCGCTGCCGCAACAACAAGTGCGGCAACTCGACGACCTTGGCGGAGGCGAGGAGGACCTACAAGAGCTGCCACAACTGCACCTGCCTCTACTGCTCGCGCGAGTGTCGACGCGCTCACTGGCAACGTCATCGCCGGACCTGTCTGCACTCGCGGGCCGGCAGCCTCTGCCGCCAGGTCCTGTCCTCGGCTAAGGAGGATCCGGCCACCCTGAAGCACATCTCCGCCCTCGCCCGACGGGGTCACGACGCTCACGGCCGCGGCGCGGTCAAGTGCTTCTTCTCGAGTCCCGAGGCGGCCGAGCGCTTCATCGGGAATGGCTTCGCCGATCTTGGGGAACCCACCTACGTGCGCTGGCCGGATTTGCTACCCGGGGAGATGGGCGCCGAGCTGCACGCCGAACTGATGCGCCTCTGCAAGACGTACAATCCGGAGGCGCGGCTGGTGCTCTACGTCGCGGTCTGCGTGGTCAGCGAGGTGCCGACCAGCGGGGCCGTCAGGTGGGAACGTCAACTGGTATCGCGATGCGCCAAGATCAGACTCGACGGGGCGACGAAGCAGCACGCTTCCTCGTCCTCGGCGTCCCCGCAGGCCAGGAGGCAGCAGAACCCCGCATCGCCCTGTAACATCACCCGGGAGATGGACTCGCCGGAAACCCTGGTACTGACCTCGTTACCAGGAAACAACGGCCAGAACACGCCGAGGAGAGCCCGCGAGATTAGTTTCACCAACATCCAACGGCAGCTCAGGCTCAGAGGGGTTTCCTTGAGGAGACACTTTCCCCAGGTCTATCGGAAGCTCTGTTCCTACGTGGACGGCTCGGTGGACAAATTCGCGCCGGTCACCATCTATCCCAGGGATCAGGCATCCGGCAAGAGCTTCATGTGCATCATCATGTTGGACGCGGAGCCTGAACGTTTGCAATTATTGCCCACGGACTCGTCCAGGGTCAGGACGGTGGACATTAGCGTGGAGCAAGAGTGAAGATCGTATCCGTATACGAGATGGGGATTTAACAAATGCTCGAGAACGAGACGCGCCGCTCACAATTTTCTTCGAATTCTTCTCAGCTGGGAGACGTTGCAAATCTCTTGTTCGGGATGGAAACGGCTTATGTTAACCAGGGATACAAGAATGAAGAGATTACATCCGGAAGGAAGAATCGATAGTGTTTCAAGTTTCAAGAGACGTCGCTCAGGATTTTCCTCAGGTACGGAAAGGAGATTAAAGAAGAGGTATCGCGATCGCTGCCGATGGACTTTTTCAGATTGAAGACGACTTTAGTCAGGCGGATTCAGATGACACGAAAATCTAAGGGATATCTTTATTTAATCGGACATTCTTTCGGATGTTTATATTATCTGGGAAGATTGTATCTAGATAGAAGCACAAATGAAAATGTTAACCAATGTCTCGAATCAATCTACCAAAGCTCGACATTTAATGTCAGCTTGCGTAGATTCGCATACATACATACATACATACATACATACAGACAGACATAAATACACACACAAAGACTGTTTCTATCTTTTCTTCTAGAGAACAAAATGATCGAACGCAAAGAAAACGAAATTCGTCGCTCTATTCAGATGTTCACCCTCTTTTGCGACACTCTATATATTTCGCGATCGTTTTAAGGCAATCCTTTCAAAAGTCCTCAATTTGGCCGTTGCTGTGTGAGATGTTTATCAATTGTTCGCTGAAGGTGCAGAATCGTAATCGACCGTTTAATCCTTTCTCATCGAACGCGTCATTAATTCTCTCTTCAAGGATTAGACTGAAATATATTTTTATATGTATTTATGTAACTCGTGTCAACGTCACACAATTCAAAGGAATAATGCAAATTTTATTTTCGAAGAGTTCTTTAGCAATTTAATTTATCGTATAAACGATATAATTATTCTAATTAGCGCTATTTTTCTATAGCGACTTTCTTTTAACGACGAAGGGTTGAAAGGGTCGATGATGATTTCTCGAATTCTCGGCGAATGGAACGGAAAGTAATATTTAGAGTACGTTGTTGTGGCTTTGTTCAACTTTGCATCGTTTAAATTTTATCGTATAAATATATATATATGTATATATATTATATATGTGTGAAGACAAAGGACACTTCAATTTTTTCTCAGCGAATATACTTACGATAATCGAATTATGAAATTTCGCTTAGGTCCCACGTGCTGTAACACGAAATTGTGTAATATAAAAATTGAAGGAGAAAAATATATTTCGACAAATATGTGTATATCGAAATTTTTAACGTTTGTTTGCAAATATCAATTTGCTAAGAGAGAATATATTTGTCTTACTTTTTGTCTCATGGCATATTAATATAATTCTCGTTATTTAATCGGATTAATGTTATAAATATAATTGTAAAGTTCTTTTCATATCTCTGTAATTGAAATGTATGGAAAAGGGAGACGCAAATATATCATCCGCTCTATCTCTATGACATTGTGCCAAATGAGAAAAAAAACGTGATTAATTCGCGTATATTACGGAGGACAAATTTTCGAAATACTTGTTTAATGCAGGGGACATGATCTCAATTTATTATCTCGAAAGAGAGAAAGAAAGAGAGAACGTGCATAATTTCGACTAAGAAAAAGGCTTTTCCAAGGATCAACGAATCCCCCCGATTTATTAATAGTAAGCATAGCTTAAGTCGAGTTGCATAACGAAATGACATTACCAAAAAAAAGGCTGATCTCTTTCTAATAGAAAAGGAGGGCGATTGATAACGGTGCCAACGATAACGTCTCGAGACTCACCCATCATCACTTTGTATAGCGATATACAAATAAAAGCGTACTAAAAAAGGAACTCGCAAGAAGAAAAGTATCGCAGCGTCATCGAGCGACAATTAATCGAGCGATCGATATGCTTTCGTAATTTTAATTGAATAGATAATTAATGAGAGCATCGCTTATACCGAGAAAAAAACCGAGGGAATGCGATTTCTTACGTTACATAGTTGATGGAATCGAAATCCGTTTATATCGTCGACGCAAATGCAATTTTTAAGGAGAGACGAGACGGAAAATGAAACGAAGGAATCGAATCAAGAAGGAAGCATCGCAGTGCCAATAATAAAATGCCACGGATATTTCTACACTCAACGAGGAATACGCCGGTTCGCTGCTCATCGAGGATCCAGGATGAAGAAACCTTACGACGATGAGATCATATTCATATATTTCGTATGCACACACGATCACGATGGTCCTCATCAAGATTATATATTCATTTCGATTAATCGCATTCCTTTGTATGTATAGCGAAGAGTATATATTATATATATATATATATATATATTATATATATATAAAAGTTATTACATCTCGACGCGTTCACTCGATCGTTCACTCATCCGTTACATGATATATCAAGCTTGCGACCAATGTTGATCCTTCGTTTAAGTTTGTACATAGCGCTCTTAAGGAAATATATTTAGAAAATGAATTAGAGGCATATAATATGCATATGCATATATGTATGTATATATGAATATATAATATATATGTATATGTATACGAGAGCAATTTTACTAGTACGAGAAAGAGATTTTAAAGGATCGATCAAAATTCGCGAGTAGGTGGCTTATATTCAGAGATCAGTCCTCGTTTTATCCTCGATAGTTCCTTTTTCCTATCTCTATTACGAGGACGATCGCTGCGACTTCATTCTATACAAGTTGTATAATAAAGAGTGTATTACATTGATTTCGGCGCTTTACGATACACCTTGTATAAATATATATTTATATATCCACACATTCCGCTCTATAAAAGCTATATAAGGAACAGGGTGGGAACGTCGGTCGGAGAGGAACAAAACTTAATTCTTGTTACATTAAGAATATACAGTGTGTTTGTAGAAGAACCTGTATCTATATTTCTAGAAAGTTTATTATAAAGAAGCTATGCGTGTTATATCAAAATTTTACGTTAGTTAAATATAATATTGTATATATAGCTTGCAGAATTGACAGATATATGCCCGGGATATTTTTCATCTGTAAGAAACACTATTTCTCTCGATTGATTAGTATTGAATAATTACTATTCAATTCTGGAAAATTTCTGTACAAAAGATGAATAATATGATAAGTTTTGCGGAAATAGAAACTTTATGGACGCACTCCGACCGATAAAACGAGAAAGCTGTTGCTCGACAAATAATTTAGAAGTGATAAAGAAGCGTATCAAACAAAAATCAATCGATCGAAAACGAGCAATCAGCCCGCACATAGTCACTCTAAAGTCTTAAGATATCGTTTCAACGTCTATATTTATCGGTGCTATCAAAATGTGCTACCATTGTTTTCGCATCTGTGTATGTCTCGATTTTTCAAATAAAATGTTAATTTTATTACACAGGCCCATCCCAGTGTATTTATTCTCTCGCCAAATTCCAAAAGACCAATATTCATGCAAAAATAAATTGCATGGATAAGAGAATAAAAACATTCAGCAAATTTTCTGAAAATATAATTTAAAAATAATTTCCATACTCGTCGGAAATAAAATTGTTCAGATAGTGGAGAACAATCTCGAGATTTATGAAACCTTTTTGATTTATTTGGCTCTGTACAGATTTGCTACAAATTTATTATTGTTAATAATACCATCGTATATTTGTAACGGTGTGGGTAAATGATGCTCGCATACATTCTGGATGGATCTTTCCCGATTCGAGATCATCTTCAACTCTATCATTTTTCTTTTTTCTTCTTCTCTCGGGCTAGATCGACCCCGACGACCATTTATCGACTAATACCTCGAGCATACTTTGTTTTACATAAGCTTTGGAATACCCGTGGACACATAGGTACAACGGCTTTACAATAATTTATAGGAAAGCGCGGTTGAGACGAGTGATGACAGCTACACTTATTTCGTTCATATAAATGCACGATATCGAGAAGCTTACATTCCAAAAGAGAACCCCGTTTTACATCCTCTCTTCATCATCATCATCTTCTTCTTCTTCTTAGAAAAACTTCTGATAAATACTGTGTCGTAAATTGGCGAGATAGCTAAGAATATTCTTTACGTCTAGTGTTCTTACGTCTAATTTCGATCTGTACTGTATTTATTTTCGGATGCGCCAATATTTCCATATAAAAACTAATAAATGTATTCCGAAAAAATGCAATTGTGTGGATATGGTCCACAATTTAAAAAAGAAAATACAATAAAGGAGCTATCGTAAAGGAATTATTGGTGCATCTCGTGTATATAATGTTATACAAATAAAAAACAGATATCTGACACGAGAGAGAGATAGAGAGAAAACAGTATACACAATACATTCAGAAAGTTGAACAAAATCATCCATCGATTATTTTTGTGAACGATATATAATAGTGTGTTCATAAAATGTCTTTGGCTATTACAAGGAAGTTGATAAATGCGGAATAATATTTGATTATTTCTAAATTTCGAAAATTGATAATGATTGATAGAAATAATCTGATTTGATTAGTCTACAATAAAATTACAATTTCATATAAATCCTCTCTTTATGATTTTGTTCACACATTTCAAATAAATTAAACTTGAGCTTGAATCGTCAGGCAGTTCACTTTTCACCTCAGCGCGAGCCTCGTATGTAGAAACTGATTATAATATTACATTATTATAGCTTATAACTTCCTGCGTTCTTATAAATTCGCGTAAATGTACACACATCGTTGCCATATATATTTCGCCTTCACGTAATATATTTTATACACAATCGAAACGTTAAATATATAATTACAATTACGCGGCTTGAGTCAATTAAATTGACGCGGCGAGCAAAAAGTAAAGTGACCTAAAAATCAAAAGGTAACCGCTGAACACGTAAAAATTTACACGTATTAATTTTATAAAATCAAAGAAAAACGCATATATGTATACATGTATATAAAACACAAAATTGACTTTTACTGACTTTTCTGAGAAAAACTCAAAATTGACTATTAGAGGTTTTCTAAGAAAACTTTACATTATAATGCCAGAGAATTTCTGGATTTGTCTAGGTTTTTTATATGCAAGCAAATCTTTCGAATGTCCACGTACCTAGTCCAACAGAATCGCTCGCTCCATTTTCGCGTTACTTACAGAAAATTCGTAGTACATACATGAAAATTTACAGATCTTATTCTCGGGAGAAATCTATAGGGAGGAGATAGGGATAGCGGAGAAAGAACGCTCTCCTTTTTCCTGTCACCGCACCATGAGATTTCGCGACAATCTTAACAATCAATATTTTTTTATATATATACTATTAATATTATATATAATATATATATCTGTATATATATATATATATATATACGTATGTATATCGTCTTATCTAGAGTCGTCGTCGTCGTGCTTCGCCAACATCGATGCAAAATAAATCACAATCGTATATTTCTTCCTCCCGGTTACCCTCCGATTGGCAACTTTGCTCCTGCGTCATTAGCAACATATATATTATATACATGTATATGTTGCACATATATAATATATTTTTTTTCACCTGTCTTTTTTCATCATCGAATTAATGAATATGCTAAAAATATTAATTCCTTCTCGCGAGTTTAGACGTATCGTTCTATATTTAACGGAGTATTTTGGTTTCTCGACACTATGTAGTTTCCACGCAGAGGATGCAACAAAAGTAGTCACCTCGTTCGAATATTAAAAAAAAAAAAAATTAATTAAAAAAATTGAGATATTTTTCATAAATATGATTGTCATATATTATGCGTCTAAAATTATATAAAGAAATAAAGAGGATTCGATATATTCGAAACGATGCGATTACTCTTGCATTACTACGATTCTATCTGCGCCACAGTATGGAAGATCGTGACTCGGAAACGCAAAGGATAAAAGTTCCCAAGATGCACTTTCGTGAATACGAAACATACTTTGAAATGAAGAAGTTTATCTTATAGTCTCGCTCGAAAGTGCGTCCTAACGCCTGCACCTTTTGGTTTAACTCGACTTATCGATAATGTACATACGCATTAACGCGGAGCGTTTGTCTATGGGGTAAGTAGAGAGATGCTTATATATTATTATTACTATTATCGTTATTATCATTATTATTATTATTAAATGTGTGTATGTGTGTGTGTGTATCTTCGTACCCTCGTCGTTATGGAATGTGCCGGGAAGGAAGTCGCTCTATTCGGGGAGCCACGACTTCGGCAAGTCGATGTTCATTTTCTCGCGTATTCCGACAGCTTGAACGCCTCGCAATTATGATTGCATAATTATAAATACTAAATACTTATAAATAGATATACTAATAAAATATATTAATTGATTTAATTCGATATTTTTTCTTTTGTACAACTTTTGCAAGTTTATGGAGAAATTTTTGTATCTTTGATCAATGAATTTTTATACAGTGATGTACAATTAATAATAATATATTGAAATTATTAATAATATATATATTATAAAAATAATAATATACCTTATTAATATTCAATATCTCTCAATTCTTTTTGAGTTGACTACAGAGAAATATGTGAGATGTTTTATTTCAAGGTGTACAAATTCAAAGAAACGCGGCGTTTAAGCTGTCGATCTCTTTTTCAGAATTTCCCTGTTTATTCAAGATTTTACAATTTGGATAAACAGCACCTAAAATTCTGTTATTAACTAGTGTGTGAACTTGGCATTGTATGTTCTCGCAAGCTCACAACTTCCATTCGAAACTCGAATCGCGATTCGACGAAAGCTACGCTCGCGATTAAATTGGCCACAATTGGCGCGTCCTCAAGAACGTCCTAAGGACAGAGTGATTAAACTAAACGATGCTATTGCTATGTCGATTGGTTGGCTCGCCAGTCGATTCAATATTGCAGGTTGACTTGTAAGACTTAGAAAGATGATGTCATGACTGATAATTCCATGAAATCGTAGAAATGTGAAGAATTTTTCAAGAATTTTTTCCTAAAAATTTGAATCCATTCCAAAGTGAATATTTTTTAGAGTAAATTGTTCTGAATGTAAAATATTAATAACCAAATGTATGTAACAAATGTCTCTTGAATTTCTCTCGTATCGATAACGCGAGAAAAAAAGCAAACTAAAATGTATATATTGCTTTTGTTTGTTCAATGAACGATAAATAAATTAGTCCATATAAGATTCTACATTGCGACCGTCTCCTCTGTGCCGAATGATCTTTATCGAGAGGATTGTGCAAAATTGTACTCTTTATAACTTCTCGATCTACAATTCTGAAAAGGTTATTCTCAAATTCTAAATATACAATGCACATTTAAAACGTACGAGCGTTTCGTAGATCCTCAAAAAGTGATGCAAAGTAGATTATAAAGATAACAAACGAACCAAATATTAGCTCGCTACAGCGCAATAGGGCACATTAAGATGACGCGTCGAAACGAAAGAATCATCGGCCATTTCTTTAGGAGGCAGTAGCGGCGGCGGCGGATTGAAGTGAGTTGGGTCACGCCAGATTGCTCTCCTGTTCGCCCCATCCCTCGCTGTCACACTCACTCTCCGATGCCGAGTCGCTGTCGCTGAATTCGACGGCGACGCGGCGTGCCAAGATAGATGCGACGTCGTTGAGCGCATTCACGCGTTCCACCTCCTTCTGTTCGATCTTTTCCACCTTGCGCAGCTTTATCCCTGTAAAGGACAGCAATCGTTTTAGACTAAAGTAATATTAATTCTCATGTAAAATTTTTACGAAATATTGAATTATACAAATATTTTAAAGCTTATACTGATTGTATCGAAAATCATAAAAATAAGGAGATGAATTACCATCGCGAATCGCCTTGAGTAGATCGTTTCGTGGATCGACCAACGGAATATTCGGATTGACAGGCTTCCTCAATTGACCGTCCACAATGCTTTTCAGAGGTTTCAGCTTCGGTGGATTTGTCGCGATCATTCTCGCAATGTCGCCATTCGTAAGTGGCAACGGTGCCGTTGGACCGTTGATAACCGGCGGAGGAGGCGGCGGTGGTGGAGGTGGTGGAATGTTGCACGGGGGCGAAATGGGTCTCGGCGGGGTAGGATCCGGAGTAGGTGGAGGCGGCGGAAGATCCTGGGGTGCCGGATCCGTTTCGTCCACACCCAACTGGCCCGAATGATTCAGCGGCGTTGGTGTCGAACGTTGGCTCGGCAGAGGACTATCCGTTCGACTATCGTTCCTGTTCAGCAAGTGCGACGGTATGGAGCCTAGAATATTTATATATTAATAAAGATCGTGCCGGATGCAAGTTCTAAATTAACTATTATTTTTAACTATTATTTAAAAAAATTAAGAATGATAACTGATATACCATTCATAGAAGGAGGAGACATGGTTTCTCCCGGCGGTGGGGGTGGTGGCGGTAGAGTGTCCCTACCGGTGCTCATGGATCTTCCCCTAGTGGGAGTGTTGTTGGCGGACGCCACCGTAGGCGTGGAGTTGCTGGAAGCGTTGCTTGGCGGCGCCGGTGGCGGTTGCGACGGTCGCGATCTACCGCCTCGGCTCGGAGTGCTCTGACCGGGACTCTGATACGTTTCGCTGCCGGCCGGCACTTGACCCGGGCCGTAATGCGATCCGTAGTTTTCATCGTAGCCCTGAGCTATGTAGTTCGTTGCCCTGCAGCGAGAAAACGAATGATTATTGCACAAAGAGTTACAAATTATTAATTATTAATTATAAAATTGTTAGTTGAATTATTATCAGTTTTATTGTCGCGATATTTTCACCTGTAGTCAGCAGACGGCGGGCTGTAGAGATGTTGCTCTTCCGGGGGATAACTTCGCCGCAGCTCAATACTGTTAGGCCTGGGCGGCCTAGGATCCGTCATTACCATTCCCAGGAGGGTATCATCGCCGGGTTGTACGTTGTGCGGCGCCCTGTACTGCACCGTTTGCGTCGGCATGATGTACTCGCCGTGGCCAACTGCCAGTTGTCGTTGCCGTTCCCTCGTATTATGCGGCTGTCTTACGCGCTTCTTGTGCCTGCCGCCTCCTCCGCCGCCACCCTCATTCCGAGGCCTATGCGGCTGTTTTGCGGAAAAAGAATGCAACTTTTAAAATGCGTAACACGAAAGAGACAACGATCAAGGTGCATCGCATGTTAAGTCAAGCACAATCGGTTTAAAATCAAGAACGTCCCGACGATTGATCCAGCGCGACTGTTGTAATGCTATCTCAGTCATGTTATCAATTTGGATTGAATTGGAATGTATCAGAGCGATACACGTTATCTTAAAGACGATACCCTCTTATTTGTCATTTAGCCAAATTAGAATTGACTGGATCAATAGTTAAATAGGATGTATAAATATATATATGTAGGAAATAAAAGTGAAGAGAAAAAAACATTGTGAAAATAAATAGCTAATAAATTGTAACTTGAAATTCTTTTCATTTTTGAATCCCATTGTTTATTATGAAAAAAAAGAAAATATTTGTTTCCTGCGACAATTTCATTTCCTACAATGTAACAAACATGACAAGATGGAGATGATATATTCCTGAAATGAACGATGAGACGATATTGAAATTATGGAGATACCGGTGTCGATCGAAGATGAGTCAGTGGATGATGAGTATAACGCAGTTCTATATAAATACATTCAAAACTTGCATAAAACTGGCAAAAAAAACGGCATTACATAAGTGATTCACAAAGTGACGGTAGATATAAGAAACTTGTTTCGAGTTTCAGAAAAAAGAAAAAAAACACAACTCAATTTACAGTGGAAGTGGAAAGTGGATTCGAGTCAGGATGGAAAGCCTTGCGTAGATGGAATTTTTGCTTTCTTCCTTGTTGTTTTCGTCGTCTAAAAGCTCGACGAATTTAGACTTGGACAAAGGAAGTCTTGGCTATTCGATCTACGCAAAGTGATGCGATCGCCATTGAAAAAATGTGGCTCTAGTAACTACAGAGAACTTCGAGAAAGCGAGCATCTAGCGTCAATCTCTATCAGCGCGCAAAAAGATCGGTTAATGAAAGAAAAATCACAGAGAGGGTGATTATATGCGATGAGAATGGAATGGTTGGTGTGGCGATCAATTCGCTGACTGAGATTACTGTTGTCGGATGTTTCGTAAGAGGGTAAGAGAGATTAAAAAGAAACTACAAAGATCCAAACCATCGACTTGCCTCTCTGAACGGTTCGGCATATTCAGACTCGCTCTACAACGAAGGGGATAGTAATTCAATAGTTAGAATCGCAGTATTAGACACGTTAAGAAACTAGTTTGGTCTATGAGCTCGCGCACACCCCGATAATTCTTAAAAATTAGACTCGATTAATGTAACTTGCGTGTATTCTCTAGCATTAGTTTAGATTCAGAGAAAAGAATTTACGATAAAATAAATATTATAAATAATACACAATAGTTATCGAGGTGCGCTTCTGAATTATATAAGTACGCGAGGATTCTCTTACCTTTTTCCCTCTATCGTGCAGCTTCTTTTCCGTGTCTTTGAGCATCTCCTGACTCCACAGGTCGAAAAAGTAATTCGGATCGGTATAAAACTTCAAGCCATCCTTGCCATCCTCTCTGAAATAATAGAGTTCAATTATATTCACAAATTAAATTTACTTTTCTCAATGAAAATTAAACAACGTTAATTACCTGTAAATATTAAGCTTATCTAGAGGCGGCGGCGTATCGCACTGATGATAGGTCTCCAGCATCGCCGTCGGCATCGTGTCTCTGGAGACGACTTGTTGATCGAATACCACGGAACTCTTGAAGGCTTTCCTCATATGTATATCTTGTAACGAGACTGCGCAAAGAAAATCAAGAAACCTTAGCATCTTCTTCATCTAATACTAGGCAATTTTGCGATTTTATATCTTTCTTCTCGGTTATAATTTGGTTAAAACTATAGAAATCGCGTTACCTTCCTCGACGTTACTATCCAGCTGGGTGACCTTGACGGCCAAACGGTCTATCCTAGCCTGTAGAGAGTTGGCTCGATCGCTCAATCCGTGAGCCTCCCTCGCCAGCTCGCCGAACAGATCCTCGGCGTGCCTCGACAGACTCGACAGTTGTCTGATAGTGTTGGCCAAGGTGCCGTTAGTGGCTGCCTCGAGCTCCGATGGCAGCGGGAAGTCCTCGGGGATGGTGCCCCGTGCCACGTGCACGGGCTCCACTAGTCGCTTCGGAAGCGGCATCTTGCCGGCTGATTGTTCTTCCTGCTCGCTCCTCTAAGCGCTAACTCACTCACCGCTCTCTCGAGACCTGAAATCATCCCCATTATCTTAAGTTTCTCGATTATATTAGTCTGATAACGGCGTTCAAACTTTAGATTTGAATCTAGAAATTTCATGCAAGAAATATGATTTGGAAAAATTTTAATTTTTGTGATTAAACACTGGAGTTTCAAAGCAATTGAACAGAATACTTTTGACAATAATCGAATGACGCTCGATTTTCTAGAGCAAATTTGCTTAAACCGTGATTTATTCGCGAGTAGCATTTGAAGAGTGCTCAACCAGTGTGAACCACTCGTGGTAGCTTAAAATCGTCCATTCCCGAAGAGAGCCTTTAACGAGATGAATATTTGATTCAGCCGAGGACATCCCTTTGATCCAACCCCTGTTACAAGAGGACAAATGGGGGTGAAGGAAAGGAGAGGCAGAATCGAGCGAGAGAGAAATTGTGGATTCAGCCATTATTTATACATTCGTATGAATTCAAAGTGTCTTGTAAGTCCGCGAGATATCTCATCGCTCGCTGCCTCTTATCTTTTTAAATGCTTGTTTCATTTTTCCGCAAGTTTTAAAGCAGGCGTGCACGCACGCACGCAACGGTAAACACCATTGCATTACGCAATTGCCAACGTCATATGTGATAACGATAACATCTTATCGCCCACGGTTGACTGCCACTAGCAAGACGGCGGTATCAGTTGGTTTATTTCTTCAAGTTCTTATGGGCAATTATTAGAAACGTGAGTTCTCGGTGAGCGAAGCCGCCTGTGAATTTCCAAGCGGATGACGTCACGGTTGCATCAAGAGAATCGTGGAATTGCATTTATTTCAACTATTTAAAATTTATCATTATACTTATATATATAAATAATTTGTTAATTATAATGATAAATTTTAAATATATATATATATATATATTTAATTAAATCTTAAAATTATCTTATAAAGGTTTTTATAATTATGTTATATAATTGCTTGTTTTATTATCCCCCGCTTTGTAATAAAAAATAAAAAAAAGTTTGAGAGGCTTTGCTTTAAGGTTAATTAAACAATACGGCAGACAAATACGTCAATAACGATTGTCAACAAACAAACATCGTTTGACTTGTCAAGGGTCAATGATACGACCGTGACCGAACGTAACGACTCCGATGGCGACGACAAGCAAGTCGGTGACGTGCGTAAACGCTATTGTGTCTCCTAATTAGCAATTAGCCGCTGCGAAGCGTGCAAATGGAGCTGCTCTACGGGATATTGCACCTGCGAAGAGAACCATGAAAAGCCTCTGTCGTGGCTAATAATATCTGCCGAAGCTATTGTGCGTATGAAAAACACCTATTCCGCATCTCGTGATCTCGTTATCGCTTCCCGTTACTCTCTTTTATTATTTTTTATATTATGCACCCCGCTTGAATTTCACATTTTTCCGTTTTTTTTTTTTTTTACATTTCTTTCGAAATAATTATCAATTATCCTTTGTTATATTAAATGGATAATCGCTTGTTAGAAAAATCGTCTTATTCTTGAAACTTCAACTTTTGAATAAAAATGATTTAAATCCATAAAATATTCGTAAATTCGTCCGTACAAAAATTATAATTATTTTATGCATCTCGCAACAAGCAATGAGCAAATTTTGTTGAACACAACTCGATATGGCTAACAGAATCCTTTTGTCATAAGTCATAACGGTATGCGGTATTTTAACTGCCGCGCAAGATATCGAACTGTCATTTAGTCATTGAACCAGTCAGCGAATAATGAACGATTCATTTCGCGGCCGTTGAATATCGAGAGCACGAGGGCATAAAATTGCATAACGAATGGTGCAAGTGTTGCGAACAGTTATATCGACATAATATTTCACGAGAAAGATAGTATAACTATCGATTCAATTATATTATTTGAGAAATTCGCGACGAAAATCGATCTCCATAACTGTTAACGAGATGCATCAATTGCAATTAGCAAAAATTTACATGTTTAATGCAAGGCAATATATTTCAAAAATTTTTATTGTATATACATATATTAATATTAATCCATTTAATATAAATGATATCACTACTAATATCTGAAAATATATATTTGTACGTAAATGTCTTTTTTTAAATGCCCTATTTTTCGCGAATTTATGCAAGTCAATGCTTGGTGATATTTGGAGAGCAAGCACCGATAATTGCTGCTAATTTTAAACATTCGTGCTAACAGGATTCGTGCGCAGCGAGCTCTTTGTGAATGAAAACCGCAGACACGTTGCAAGCATGCAGCAGACTTGCATAAGGTAAGCGATATCCTGAAAGGTTACTATTACACTGCAGTGCTCGCCACTACTACCATCCCGTTTGGCGTAAGTAGAAATCGGAAAGACTTAATCTTACTCTCTGCAACGTGTTTGTCGATCGTTCGAGCGTTGCATTTATTGCAGCCTGCATTGGATCGCATCGGCAGCGGCACTGATTGCGCGTTTCTGCAGATGACACTCGCGCTTCGATAAACAAATCGATTATTTCGATTTTTATATAAAAAATCATTTAACAAGATTCTAGACGCGCGTGCACATTTTATTTTTCATTCAATTTTACTTATATCTAGAATTTCATTAATTTCGTAAATTGGAAAATTCGTACAATAAAATAATATCCTGTTCACTCATTTTAAAGATGTTTACTTCAACGCGCAAGCACACTTGCGAGATATCGAAGGCGTTCGAAGCCAATATACTTAATAATAATATGGCTTGAATTGTTAAATTTTTGTGAAATTTGTAGGATGGTGGTAAGCAGCGAATGACAATGACTGCAACGCCATGCTGTTTCCACTGATTATTCACGCTTGTTCGCGGTTGCATTCTGGTGCGCACGTGCGACTGGGCGAACAGAGAATGCACATGTCGACCATATGGTCACGCATAAAACGTATGCAAGAAATACAAGGTCACTACCCCCTACGCACAAAATCGACGCAATTTTGTCACTTTAAGAAAAATGCATTCTTAATATCCGTGCGCTTTCTTCGCGCTTTTCTCACGCACAGGAAATTTTTTTTTTCTTTCATATATCATTTATATTTATAACATTAATTCCTCTCCCTTTAAACAAATAAAATAAATGCAAATTACACAAAAAATGAAAATAAAAAATGGAATATTAAATTAATTTTTACTACTTCTTGTCGCATAAAGTCTAATTTATTTCGTCGCATCGTAAAATCTCGCATGGCGTGAAATGGTCTGCGTCGACACTAACTATTCGTTTAGTGTGCTTCTCTCACAGGAAAGAAGCGCATACCGAGACGCATTAGAATCGAGACGTTATCGAGGCGAAATGAACGACGCGCAATCCGACGAGACATTATCGTTCACAACAAAGAGTTTTATGCTAATACCGCGACGTGCGACGATTTCGCAATCGCAAACACGTGCATCTAAGAGAATTCCGGCTCCCTCGCGAAATGTCATTCCTCGTCTCGCGAGATAATATTGAAGCCGTATAATTTTATTGCAATCAAATGAAAATTGTGTCGCGATACGCGGAGAATTTTCTCTTAGAATCTTTCAAGAGTTTCTCTGATTAATATTTACCACAATAAAAATATTAATATGTACATAGTAAAATTAATCGAACATATTTTATATCTTATTGTGATAGATATTAATATTTTTATTGGGGCAAATATTAATTAGAGAAACTCATATAAAATTCCTTTATACTGCCTTAGATTACCACGATTTTCAGGGTAAATCCTGTAAGAGAAAATTCTCTCTGTGTATATATAAATTTTACCGTCTCTTAATTAATAAAAACAAAATGTGCAAAAAACTTAATATAAACGAATTCATCAACTACAATTCTTTTATCATTATTTTTCACAGAATTAAATTGTTGAGAATAATTACTCCACATATGCGTACATTTTTTGACAAAATAAAATTTATAATGAGCGCAAAAATAATTTCCATTAAACGTGGGCGGATGATTAACCACGTATGGCTAATTAAAGCGCGAAAACTTGCAGCTAGAAGGACGATAGAAGAGGAAGATAGAAGAGAGAGACAGTATTGTATTCGGGTCACTGATAAGGGAAGGATGTGAGTCGTTGGGGAGCCGCTAACGACAGGTTGAATAAATTATATCGACGTTTATGCGTTACGGGAGCAACGTGCTGAAAAGCTGTGTGATGCTGCTCTCACAGATTGCCTGGCCGAGATATTTATATCCTGCCTGCTGTACGTGCACACCACTACCGATATACTATATACCGTCTTGCATTTTGTATACAAGCGTGTAAAGTCGATAGAGGTGCAGGCGATCATCAAACAATATTGCGACAAAAATATTTACTCGATATGCTAACATATCATTCTTACGATATTGTGCAAACAAAACTTCATTGTAGGTGTGTTCTCTTCATTGGAGTAATGCTGCCGATGTGGCTGCTGCAGAAACTAAATCGGGATTTTTCGATTTCAATGTCAAAAAGGAATTTCGAAATTTTATTCATCTAATTTATTATTTAAAGTTTCCTTGACTATTTTTAATGAAAGCGCCGCATTATTTATTACCGTTCAACTATAAATTTATGGATACATCGAGAGAATTTTCTTTTAGAATTTTTACCTTGAAATCATGGGACGATATTGGAAAAACTTTGTAAGAGTTCCTCTGATTAACATTTACGACAATAAAAAAATATTAATATCTACCACAATAAGGTGTAAAAAATGTTCGATTAATTTATTGTGGTAAATATTAATCAAAGAAACTCTTATAAAATTCTTCCAATACCATATAGTCACCTTCTGAGTTTCTTATGATTTCAGGATAAATTCTAACAATAAGAGAAAATGCTCTCCGTATAGTAAGTCGTGCGCAACTGTGAATGATTGCAACATTTTGTATTTCCGCGGTACAATTATTTTTAACAGGTGAAATCAGCTACCGGTTAAAGTGGATTAACCCGACTCTTTATCGCGGAACACGTTTGGTTCGCTTCTTTCGCTCGAGTTAAATCTAAACTAGGCCTGCTCGAGTTAACGCAAGAAAGAAAAAACTCGAGAAGGCACGTGGACATCCTTAAAAAGGTACTCCTTCCTCATTAGCGGCGTTTACATCGTTTGAGAAAACAAAATGTCGGTATGCCACTGAAACGAGTTCCATCGCGTTTTTACTCGTTTTCTTTGTACATCCACTCGACGCAATAAAATCAACTTACCGTTACTTTATTTCTCCTAAGGATATACGTAAGAAGAAATCAAGATTTTCTTTGCTTTCAAAATTTCTTAATGTTCCAAGTTATAGATTGCATAATAGATAGATTTTTTATATTTAATATATATTTATATCTCTCTATAAGACAATAAATACTTGAATTTTTTTATCTTGTAAGCAAATTTTTATACATTTTTATTTCTAAGATCCCTGTTTCAATATCAAAAATATCTGCATTTATAATTATTAGGATCATAAAAATTTAGATTTAGAAAATGAGAAATTACAAGATTTTGAAGTTTAATTTCTCTGTCTGCGATATTATGATTGTTCGACGAATAAGCGGTTTCAGTTCAGGCTTTTTACTCAAGAAAAGGGAGACTTCTCGAGACGGGCTAGTTTTATACGCCTGTCCTCCTCGACTTTATAAAGCATAGACGACTCGATCAATATATTGCACGAAGACGTCGACGATTAGCTCGTGATCGACTCGTGAATCTCAATCTTTCTAGCACGCCTCGAATTTCACGCTCTCGATAACGCGCTCTCGACATACCTCGCTCGTTCGAGTGAAAGCGACTGATTTATACGAGCTGTTCCAAAATACCGAAAACGCGATTTTTCAGGATGTCCAGCAGACTGAATGAAAAAACTTCCCCGATTTTTTCGCAGATTTTCCAAGACCAGAAATTCATATTTCTCCTGACTTTTTAGTATTATTTTTTCCACATATATACAGAAAGAATTTTCTCTTAGAATTTACCCTGAAAATCATGGTAATCATGGACAATATGGTGGTATTGGAAGAATTTTTCTGATTAAATTTACCGCGATAAAAATAGTAACATCTACTACAATAAAATATAAAATATACATAATAAAATTGACTATGTACGTATTAATATTTTTATTTGTGATAAATATTAATCAGAGAAATTCTTATAAAATTGTCTAACATGATTTTCAAAGAAAATTCTCTCCGTGTATAATTTGCATATATCTATATGATAAATCAATTAAATATTAAATCACATGAAATCCTTTAGATATTTTAGTTTTGTCTCATCAAACACATTGAAATAAAATAACACGACGATGAAAATATAAATTAACGAACACACCAAGGAAAAGTTTATATTTATTTAATAAAACATTTTCAATTATTGAGAATGTAGAATAGTATGAAAAAATCCAAATAAATAATAAAATTTCCTGACTTTTCTCTGACAATTGCAGACTTATAAAATGCCCGGTTTTCCAGATTTCCCTGATCGCTAGACACCCTATTTTTGTTCTCCTCTTTCTCTAATTTTTTAAAAATAAAAATCTGATTAATAAGTAGATATCTCTTACCGATTCGCGAGAAATCAGACATTTTGACTACGAGCTTTAAAACCAAGCAGCGCCCCTCCCACGTTGATCGAAATAAAGATCACCCTGAGGATATTTTGGTCGACCCTCGTCCCGAGTCAGCAGGAGTATCGGGGCGCAATGCGTCAGTTCCTTCGATACTAGGACTACAACAACCCCTCGATATAATACAAGGGATGACGTCATGAACTCTGCACGTTCGTTACATTCCGCAAATATAATTCGCCGCTTTGGAGTCGAGCAAATTCAATTATGAATGTAAAATTGATGTACCAAGAATCTATAAAACTGATGAAAAATAATGAAGGTCGGAAGTGGATCGAGAATTTTTTTAATTTAGGAGCTGCAAGCGCGAATTAAAATAAAAAATCCGATAAAAATCAAGGATAAAACATATAATTGGAATCTGTTGTATAAAAATAAAAAATTGTCCTCAAATGCTAAAAATCTATCTCCATCAAACTACGAATCTAAAGCCAAGGATGTACGGATTTAAATATCCGAGACAAGTAAGCAGATGTAAAACGTCTCTCGAATACCCACTCGATGCACTTCCGGTTGCTCTCTTATACGTATTTCTGTCACATGCGATATCGTATAGTGCGCGTGCTGGAAATTGATGTGTTCGATCGAGGCAATCGAATGTCAGGAACCGGTTAGTTAACCTTGTTTCAAAAGAATATTTTAAAAATAAAGAGCACGTAGGAGAGGTGAGATACTTGTTCATTCAGTATAATATGGCAATATGGCTGCTATTATTACTTCCGCAAAGATTCAAAGACTAACCTCGCGATCTGCGTTAGCCCTGTAATCCTCGAGAGTTAGCGATTAATCTTCAAACTTTTCCATCATATTTAACTATTTAACTGTTCATTTATCATACTTTAAACTTTAAAGTAATATCTCATTAAATTTTTATTTTCTATACATATTTAGTTTTACAACTTTAGCATGATTATAAAGCTTCACAAATTCTGGTCTCTTCCATTCTTTGACACTATACGTATTTGATATAAAAGGTCTCCTTTAACAATTATTTTCTTGATAATAAATTAAAAATTTAATTTTTTCAAACAATACTGAAATAATTAATTAATTTAAAAACTAATTATTATTTACACCGAATTTTTAATTTCAAAAATAAAATTTTCGCAGCTTTAGATTTTATAAACCATTTTACCAATTGCTGATTAATTAAAGTTAGTTACATAAATTTAAATAAACTTTTTCATGAAAAACTGCATGGAAGTTTCGCAGAATAGCGGTAAAATTCCAACGGAAGAGCTGGCGAGGCAACGGATACATACAAGTGCGCGACTAATTGCAAGACGAGGTTTCAGAGACAGCAAGGACCAGAAGGAGGAAGACTGGAACAAAAAGCTCTCGGTGGACAGTGGCAAAGTATCGAGTAACATTCGTCATGGTGAATGCGGAGACGTCGACCTCGGATG